TTTTACCCGTATATTACCTGACGCTGGCATATATATACCTATGAGACATACACGTCTCTCACCCCATACCTCATCTACTCTCACAACTCTCTCCCCCCTCCTCCTAACCCGTGACACGCAAGGGGCTGGTGTCCTTGATTGCTATCGCCACCCCCCTTTTAACTGTCTGGCAGCACTAACATACACTTTATAGCCATCCAACCTCAAATCACATCCCAACCTTTGTAGGTACACCGTAGACGTCTCCGATGATGGTATGCAATAAAACATACATTGTTGCAGTACTAAGCGTGCCTCTGACCAACTCTATGCAGACGGTGTTTACACGGCGTCCCCTCCCTCTGCCATCTTGTACCTTTAAGTACCTAAGTGCAACACTTAACTGACCGATATGTAATACATCTGGTGTTGAATCAACTGACAAACTAAACTAACCAGAAGATTTTATTTCGTCAACGATGTGCAGGTGGACAGGTATTTCTTTTGCCAGAATTTCCATATTTTGAAATACGACTTGCTAAAAATAGATCACACTTACTTCAGCCCAAGCAGCCCTAAAAAAATCCCATTCTGCAATGATCCAAATCTTTCCTCTGTTCCTCTAAAATCCAAGCCACTTCAGATAACGTACGAATAGCAGCTATGACACGCCTCAAGACATGTTCCCAGTAATAACAGCTTAGACACACCTCAAGACATGTTCACAGTAATAACAGCTATGACACAACTCAAGACATGTTCCCAGTAATAACAGCTATGACACACCTCAAGACATGTTCCCAGTAATAACAGCTATGACACACCTCAAGACATGTTCCCAGTAATAACAGCTATGACACACCTCAAGACATGTTCCCAGTAATACAGCTATGACACATCCTCAAGACATGTTCCCAGTAATAACAGCTATGACACACCTCAAGACATATTCCCATGTAATACAGCTATGCACACCTCAATACATGTTCCCACTAATAACGCTGACACACCTCAGACATATCCCAGTAATAACAGCTATGACACACCTCAAGACATGTTCACAGTTCAGCTATGACACACCTCAGACATGTTCCAGTAATAACACTATACCACCTCAAGACGTGTTTACAGTAATAACACAACTCACCTCAAGACATGTTACACGTAATAACGCTATGACACACCTCAAGACGATTACAGTAAAAACAGCTATGACACTCTCAAACATGTACATAATAACACTAGACCACCCAAGACATGTTCACAGATATACAGCTAGACACACCTCAAACATTTCCCAGTAATACAGCTATGATCACCTAAGACAGTTACAGTAATAAACTAGATCACACTAGACATGTTACAGTATAAGCAGCCTATGACAACTCAAGACTAGTTCTCAGTATAACCTATGACACTATTCCTCTGTTACCTAATCAACAGCCTATGACCACCTTCAATACTGTTTACGAATAACAGCTATGACACACCTCAAGACGTGTTCCCAGTAATAACAGCTATGACACACCTCAAGACATGTTCACAGTAATAACAGCTATGACACACCTCAAACATGTTCCCATAATAACAGCTATGACACACCTCAATACATGTTCCCAGTAATAACAGCTATGACACACCTCAAGACATGTCACAGTAATAACAGCTATGACACACCTCAAGACATGTTCCAGTAATAACAGCTATGACACACCTCAAGACATGTTTCCAGTAATAACAGCTATGACACACCTCAAGACATGTTCCCAGTAATAACAGCTATGACACACCTCAAGACATGTTCCCAGTAATAACAGCTATGACACACCTCAAGACATGTTCCAGTAATAACAGCTATGACACACCTCAATACATGTTCCAGTAATAACAGCTATGACAACCTAAGACATGTTTACCAGTAATAACAGCTATGACACACCTTAAGACATGTTCACAGTAATAACAGCTATGACACACCTCAAGACATGTTTACAGTAATAACAGCTATGACATACCTTAAGACATGTTCCAGTAATAACAGCTATGACACACCTCAAGACATGTTCCCAGTAATAACAGCTATGACACACCTCAAGACATGTTCCCAGTAATAACAGCTATGACACACCTCAAGACATGTTTACAGTAATAACAGCTATGACGCACCTCAAGACATGTTCCCAGTAATAACAGCTATGACACACCTCAAGACATGTTTACAGTAATAACAGCTATGACACACCTCAAGACATGTTCACAGTAATAACAGCTATGACACACCTCAAGACATGTTTACAGTAATAACAGCTATGACACACCTCAAGACATGTTTACAGTAATAACAGCTATGACACACCTCAAGACATGTTTACAGTAATAACAGCTATGACGCACCTCAAGACATGTTTACAGTAATAACAGCTATGACACACCTCAAGACATGTTTACAGTAATAACAGCTATGACACACCTCAAGACATGTTCCCAGTAATCACACTTCCTGAATTAGTTTTTCCAACTATTGTACCAACCTCGCACCTTGTCTGCGAATTAAGTATGTTAGCACAGAGTCTCGGTGAGAAGTGCTTTTTTCATGATGATCATTTGCTATAGTGTTTTTAGTTGCAAACAGATTACAAACAAAACAGTGAACTCATCCTGTTGACGACGAATACAATAACTCTTCTTTCTTGTATTTTTCACCATTAGCTTTTGTCCCAACGAAAAGTTTTTGTGAACAGTATTTTGAAGGTTTCCCACTACTGAAATGCTGGTAAGACTTGTCAGATGGCCAGTTGTGGTGTTGACAGTCATTGTGGTGTTGACAGTCATTGTGGTGTTGACAGTCATTGTGGTGTTGACAGTCATTGTGGTGTTGACAGTCATTGTGGTGTTGACAGTCATTGTGGTGTTGAAGTCATTGGATCCATAAGTCCTGAAGCTACATCTTCAGGAGACAAATCAAGCCACAACCCTGGATCTTTTACTACATTTACTTCATCTTTTGCAGACTGAATCATTTCACCTTTATCACCATGGTTCACTAAACTTGAATCAACATTTGCAGTACAGGTGTTAAGAGAATTTACAGGTAAAGTGAGATCAGTAGTGAGACATGTGCTAGATGAACCTACTTGTGACACCTCGGTGATTCCATCGTCATCGCATTTTGATTTTGAAGTCATCAAAGTGGTATTTGTGTCCATTTCTGATGACGGAGATCGGTTTTGATCCGGAATCAGTATATCATGTTTCACATGTGAAACTTGTGTGAAAAAATCAATCAGCTTTGCAGTCTTGGACACTAAATCCGAAGCTTTCTCTAGTTTCTTTTTTAATAGTTTTCATTTTTTCCGCCACTTAACTGAAAACGTTTCATTTTCTCTCTTGGGGTCTGTAATAAAAAGAATATTTTGCTTGAGTATTATGTGGTAATTACCATATTTCCACATATCACAGGCAGAACCTTGATATGAAGAATTTAATTACTAGCTTACAGCTGAATCTTGCACTTTCATGCACAAGAAAAGTTATCTGCAATATTCTCTCCAAGACCTTTAAAAACCTCCAAATTTCGAGAAAAAACCCATCTGGCAACACTGTATTTACTCTCAGTGGACGACTGAATGGGACAGCCGACATGACCAAGACAAGAACAATATGTGAGGTTCGGTGGACTGTGTGGCAGTTTACCAGTTACCAGATTCTAATTTTTTGTATTCCCAAAATTAATGTATGTCATAACCTCTGTTATTACTATTTAATTATTATTATTATTATTATTATTATTATTATTATTATTATTATTATTATTATTATTATTATTATTATATACATTAAGGCATCCACGAAAAAGTGTTTTTTAAGCAAATAAGAACTGCACTGGCCGAGCCTCTAACCCTCGATCTTTAACACGCCACCCGGGTAACCTGTTGAAACTCCAGACAACCCTAAACCACTGGACCACCAATGTCACATACAACAGGCGTCTAGTAGCACTAGACGTCACTCCTGTTGCAGACACGTACGTGATTGTAGCAATCTAAGGACGTTCATGAATGCATTAATATGTAAACTGCTTGTGTAACTAGTATTCCAAACGGAAAGAGAAAGAATTTAGTCTTTAGAATGCCACAGCCACGTAGGTGTTCGCCAAAGGAGGTGTCGTCTAGTGTTACTCGATCGCTAGTACACTCAGTTCACACACTGAGGTCCGGAGTTCGAATTTCCTCCAGTATGGATGGAAAACATTAGGGACGTGTTTCCATAAGACACCTGCCGTCCATGTTCACCCATCAGTATAAAATGGGTACCTGGGTGTTAGTCGACTGGTGTGGGTCGCATCCTGGGACAAAACTGGCCTAATTTGCCCGAAATGCTCAGCATAACAAGCGGCTTTCTGTATAGTATTATGTCATTGATGTTAGCTAGGCCTGTATACCTTGTACATGTACTTGTAGTAAATAAATACATTATTATTATTATTATTATTATTATTATTATTATTATTATTATTATTATTATTATTATTGATAAATTAGACACATGTGCAACTCAATAAAGATACCCAAGAGTTGCATATGTGTCTAATTTATCAACATGTCGGTTCTCTGAACCATTCATCTATTATTATTATTATTATTACATTGGTGGTCCAGTGGATTAAGGCGTCTGGAGTTTTAGCAGGTTACCTGGATGGCGTGTTAAAACTCGAGAGTTCGAGGTTCGGTCAGTGAACCTGTTATATGTATGTATATATGTAGTATTTTCATTTAATGAGGGGAGCCTTTTTTTGTGGAACCTGGTTCAGCTGCACCATCTGCAGTTTTGTATCACAAGGTCCTTCCCTGGATGCCCTAAGCACGTGTTAATCCAACCCTGCTTAGCATCATTCCATCTCCTTTATATCCTTGTGGAACCTTTCACTTTTCTCTCCAACAAATGCTACGAATTGCAGCATATTTTAGTTTATATAGCATTAGAGCCACCCAACTCAGGTTATGTATAACATTCTCTCCCAGGGAGGCGTGAAGGCGGTAGTGTACACTGACGTGCTGCAGACATCTGTTATGTTCCTGGGAGTGGCTGTGGTGGTAGTGATCTCCTGCGTCGACCTGGGAGGTGCGGGAGCAGTCTGGAACAAGGCGCTTCAAGGATCTAGGGTAGAATTCTTCAAGTGAGGCCATGAATTACTCAACACCAATTATTTACAATCTCGTTATAGTTTAGAGAAATATACAGTCATGAGCAAAATAAGTTACAGTACAGTTGCTGGAACAATAATAGGAAACCCACAACTCAGAGAGAAAAATTTAGACAATGTTTTGATTCATCGTGACCTCAGGATGGCCAAGGACAGACAGAAACGTTGTCTAAACTTTCCTTACCGAACTGTCGATTCGTCGCGAAATACAGTCTTGTCTGAATAATATATCACAATATACCTCAAGAGAAAATTAAAGTCACAATATCTCGTTTGGAACAAACCGACAAACTTATTAATAAGATACTTGTGCAAGACGGGTATCTTTACTGTGAAAACGTTTCGCCAGCCAGTGGTTTCATAAGTCCAAAACAGAGAGGAACGGTGGAAGATGAACAGGAGTTTGGGATAATCAGTCCCTCAGCCTGGAGTCGATGTATTCGACTCCATCCTGAAGGACTGATTACCTCAGACTCTAACTCATCGTTCTCCGTTCTTTCTATGCTTGACTGATGAATCCACTGGCTGGCGAAACGTTTCTCCCATGAAGACACATAAGTGCTGCATAAGTGTCTCAATCATCAATCCCCGATAACCCTAACCAAGGAGAGGAACTCTTTGACGATGTTTCGGTCCATCTTAGACCAGTACTAAATTACAACTGAAGTGAGAAAAATAAAGGCCTGAAGTCACTACGAAAGGAGGCGACGAAGAAGAGGCTGATAGTATTAGTAGTAATAGTTGTTGCACAAATTGTAGTGTAATATTGGTTGCAGAAGCTGTGCTGGTAACAGTAGTAGACACGGTGATGGCCGTCGAATTAGCGACAGTCGTAGTAGTAGAAGTAGTAGTCATAGCAGTAGTAGCAGTAAAGGTAACAGTAGTGGGATTGACAATATTGCAGTAAAGTCATTGTTGTAGTATTTATAGAAATAGAAGTTAAGTATAGACTGTAGTAGCATTGAAAGAATTTGTTGTAGTAGTAGAAATAGTAACAGTATATTAGTAGAACTGGTACTATTATAGTAGTAGAAGTAATAATAATATTAATAATAATGAGAGAAGTATTAGTAGCAACAAGATAAGATTTGTTCAGATTTTTAACTCTGAGGGTTAGCCACACAGAATAACCCAAGAATATAAGTTCATCATCGAGGACTGTCGACTAGCATCCTGGTACCTACTTACTGCTACGTGAACACCAACAACAGGTGTATGAAATATGCCCACTGTTTCTATCCGGCCAGGGATTGAACCATCACGATTACCACAGGTGGCCCGTGGCCACCTGTGGTAGTCATGATGGTAGTAGTAGTAGAATAGTAGTAGTAGTAATAGTAGTAATAGTAGTAGTAGTAGTAGAAGTAGTAATAGTAGTAGTAGTAGAATAGTAGTAGTAGTAGTAATAGTAGTAGTAGTAGTAGTAGTAGAAGTAGTAATAGTAGTAGTAGTAGTAGTAGTAGAATAGTAGTAGTAGTAATAGTAGTAGTAGTAGTAGTAGTAGAAGTAGTAGAAGTATTTAAGTAGTAGAAAGTAGTAAGTAGTAGTAATGTAGTAGTAGAATAGTAGTAGTAGTAATAGTAGTAGTAGTAGTAGAAGTAGTAGAAGTAGTAATAGTAGTAGTAGTAGAATAGTAGTAGTAGTAATAGTAGTAGTAGTAGTAGTAGAAGTAGTAGAAGTAGTAATAGCAGTAGTAGTAGTAGTAGTAGAATAGTAGTAGTAGTAATAGTAGTAGTAGTAGTAGTAGTAGTAGAAGTAGTAGAAGTAGTAATAGTAGTAGTAGTAGTAGTAGAATAGTAGTAGTAATAGTAGTAGTAGTAGTAGTAGTAGAAGTAGTAGAAGTAGTAATAGTAGTAGTAGTAGTAGAATAGTAGTAGTAGTAGTAATAGTAGTAGTAGTAGTAGAAGTAGTAGAAGTAGTAATAGTAGTAGTAGTAGAATAGTAGTAGTAGTAATAGTAGTAGTAGTAGAAGTAGTAGAAGTAGTAATAGTAGTAGTAGAATAGTAGTAGTAGTAGTAATAGTAGTAGTAGTAGTAGTAGTAGTAGAAGTAGTAATAGTAGTAATAGTAGTAGATGTAGTAGCATTTGTAATAGTAGTAGACGTAGTAGTAGTAGTAGTAGTAGTAGTAGTAGTCGTAGTAGTAGTAGTAGTAGTAGTAGTAGTCGTAGTAGTAGTAGTAGTAGTAGTAGTAGTAGTAGTCGTAGTAGTAGTAGTAGTAGTAGTAGTAGTCGTAGTAGTAGTAGTAGTAGTAGTAGTAGTAGTAGTCGTAGTAGTAGTAGTAGTCGTAGTAGTAGTAGTAGTAGTAGTAGTAGTAGTAGTAGTAGTAGTAGTAGTAGTAGTAGTCGTAGTAGTAGTAGTAGTCGTAGTAGTAGAGAAATTTAGTAGTAGTAGTAGTGTAGTAGTAGTAGGTAGTAGTAGTAGTAGTAGTCGTATAGTAGTAGTAGTAGTAGTAGTAGTAGTAGTAGTAGTAGTCGTAGTAGTAGTAGTAGTCGTAGTAGTAGTAGTAGTAGTAGTAGTAGTAGTAGTAGTAGTAGTAGTAGTTGTAGTAGTAGTAGTAGTCGTAGTAGTAGTAGTAGTAGTATAGTAGTAGTAGTAGTAGTAGTAGTCGTAGTAGTAGTAGTAGTAGTAGTAGTAGTAGTAGTCGTAGTAGTAGTAGTAGTAGTCGTAGTAGTAGTAGTAGTAGTAGTAGTTAGTAGTGTGAGTAGTAGAATATAGTAAAGTAGTAATAGTAAGTAATAGTAGTAGATGTAGTAGCATTTGTAATAGTAGTAGACGTAGTAGTAGTAGTAGTAGTTGTAGTAGTAGTAGTAGTAGTAGTAGTAGTAGTAGAAGTAGTAATAGGAGTAATAGTAGTAGATGTAGTAGCATTTGTAATAGTAGTAGACGTAGTATTGTAGTAGTAGTAGTAGTAGTAGAAGTAGTAGTAGTAGTAGTAGTAGTCGTAGTAGTAGTAGTAGTAGTAGTAGTAGTAGGTAGTAGTAGTAGTAGTAGTCGTAGTAGTAGTAATTGGTTGTAACTTGATACCGTGGTTCATTGTTTTGAGAACTCTGTAAAAACTTTCATTTGTGGTCACAGTGGTGCCTGTGCTAACCTCTCTGTGGTGTATATATATATATCTAGTTAGATGAATCTTATTGTAGCCAGCTGGCCCAGTGGCTTGTGTGCTGGAAGGGAATTTTACGACTCACTCGCCACGAGTTCAATTCCCCCCCCCCTCCCACGTGGTATGGTTTGGTTACAACTGTGTCATTACCCACTGTTGTGTGCTGAGGAGCTTATAAGCTCCTCAGCACACAACAGTGGGAGACAGACAAATACTCAGGCGCATCAATGGAGAGAAAAAGGATTTCTCCAGTCTCTTCACCTCCGAAGTAAAGTTAATCAAAACCTTAATCTGCCACTTCCTCCCAAAGATTTATTTGGCCTCATTAACTGATTTTCTATAAACAAGAGGCTTTACAGTAAATATAAGGAATGGGAATGGTCTCTCCCACCAGCGCCGTCTTAGCAAACTTGTATATGGAACACGTAGAAGTTGAACGCTTCGCAAACATCATCCCAACCAACGTCCCATAGTTACGTTATGACCAGTCTACAAATATGTAGACTGGTCATTCAAGCCGTTCATCATTTTGGTGTCGTTATCGCTAGTCAACTTGCAGACTGGCCCTCACATTTCTTGCGCTTTCGAAGGTTTCCTAATCAATTTTAGAGAGTTCCTCGGAGCATTCGGTTAAGTACGCTTGGGAAACTGGAGAGAATAGGTGTCTGGAGTTGAAGAGCTGTGTAGTAGTAGTAGACTTAGGGTGATTTCGTTGACCTTACTGAACTCTGCATTAAATTCAACTGCTTTTCTTTCAACAACTGGCTCTACAAACAAGCGTATGGGGTTTCTTATCAAAGCAGTCCTATCAAACTTGTATATGGAGCACTGAAATTGTGAACGCTTCGCCATCTTCATCCTAATAATCTACGTTACATGCCAATTCCCAAACGTTTTGGCATGCAAAATCTTCAGAGAATGGTCAACACAGCTGAACCGACCATCCAGCTCACACTTCAAGAAGAGTGTAGATAAATGGTTCAGAGAACCGACAAGTTGATAAATTAGACACATCAGCAACACTTGGGTATCTTTACTGAGGTAATGCTTCGCAACACAGTGACTTTGTATTGGACTGATGAAGCAACTGTGTGGCGAATCGTTTCCTCAATAAAGATACCGAAGTGTTGCACATGTGTCTTATTTATTAACTGTGGGAAGAGACCAATGACAGCTTACCTTTTCTCGACGCCCTCATTTACAAAACAGAAATAAGAGCACTCAAAGATCCCAAGTTTACAGGAATCATACATATAAAAACGATCGTACACTTCTATTTTAGTCAGGGTACTAAGACCAAACGGAACATCATCGTTGGATTATTCCTAAGGGTATACCGAATTCGAAGTCCAGAGATTCTTGACGAGGACAGAGTACTCGCACAAGCTGGTACTAGACTCTTCACTGATTCCTGACCATGGCCAAGCTGAAGAACCTTGAACAAATCAATGCAGAGGATTACACAATCCCTGTGGTAGTTGTGACAAGGTTTACGTCGGTGAAACGGCACTTGGCCAATAGTTACCTCCACTACTAGTACTACTACTACTACTACAACCACTGTAGTAGTAGTAGTAGTGGTAGTAGTGGTAGTAGCAGTAGCAAATTCTTTCAATACTACTACTCCACTATACTTTTGCATTTACCTCTACTACTGTCATTACCGCATTACTGCCACTCCCACTGCGGCTACATATACTACTACTACCACTACTATGTTATTAATGCTTCTATTATTACTACTACTACGCCACTACCACCATCATTACTACAACTACTTCTACTACCACTCCTATCTTCCCCCACCCCCCCTACCGTAATGGCATGAGACCTTTCCTACCTTTTCTCAACCCGTTTGTGACTTGACACTCTGTCCAGGACCGACCGAAACGTCGTCATAAAGTTCCTCTCATAAATGTGAGTTTCTGCTGAGTGCCTGTAGTGTTTAATATAGGTAAAATCTTCCTGAAGGTATTTATATATATATATATATTTCATTTATTTAGATTTTGAAATCTGTGTGGGGTCATTCATCGCAAGGAATGGTGGAGGCTTGATCTTTTGTGCACTTATTTCAGGGACAGAGTTTCATAAGTCACTTCATGGTGAGGACTGTCAAGATCCTTGAACTTGCAACACCATCCATATCTCACCTTTATCGGAGATAGTCTCGAACCTTCACCAGATCTTGTGACAAATAACCAAAGTGGATTTAATATTTCATATAAAAAATAATAACCAGTTTTATTTGTCCACAGTCTCGACCCCAGCCCACTGATTCGTCATACCTTTTGGTCGTCAGCAGCAATGGGCCTCCACTTATGCCTATATACGCTGGCTTTCAGCCAGTCATCTTTCCAGAGGCTTGTGTCTGTCAGTAACCTTCAAACATCAAAGAGGCAAGTAAATATCAACCTGATCAGGAAAAACCCTGAGTGCAAGAGTAGGTGGAGAATCGAACGTTCTTGAGTTTTGTGCTAAATGTCCCATATGGTTTTGCAATTCACATTAAAATCTGTGTGAGGGAAAAGTTCAATAGATAGGAGTAGCGAGGGAGTATATAGTAACAACAGTTTCATTGCCGGCTACTTGTTAAGGTAGGGTAAGTCAAGCTCCCGCTATTCCCGCCTTTTTTTCCCCTTCACCGAAAGTGATAGTTTCATTGCCGGCTACTTGTTAAGGTAGGGTAAGTCAAGCTCCCGCTATTCCTGCCTTTTTCCCCCACCCCGAAAGTAATAGTTTGACTGCCGGCTGCTAGTTAAGGTAGGGTCAGTCTAGCTCCCACTATCCCTTCCCCTCCTCCTTCCCCCCCCTCCGAAAGGTGACTTGTGGGGCTCTGGTCCAAACAGTAATCACTAGACTCACAGCTCCCAGCACTACTGTGAGTACATACCTGCCTTGTATTCTAGTGGATTTATGGGTTGAAAGCTTCACTTTTGACCAATAATAAACTTAGTCTTTTCAGCCTTGCTTAATGTTGACTGTTGTAATAATCACCACATCTTTTAGGTATTGTACTTATCATGGAGAGTGATTATTTAAGCAGTGGGTAACCTGTCTATCTTTTCAGCTTGGATGACAGAGAGGGTCACCTGTCAATCAACGAGAAGAACTGGTGGAGATGGACTAACGTCCTGAGACTTCCCCTTTTTGGATTTAATTCCCTGTGCACCTGTATGAAATTGCAGGACGTAACCCATCATCATTACAGTGGTAAAGAACCTGTTTTCCTTTCATTAGGATAGAATACTCAAGGCTATACTGTGAAGAACTAGCCAGTGGGTCGTAACCAACACCTGCGACCCCCCCCCTATCATCAGCAACGGCTACGATTTCAACAACACAGTGTCACCAACATCAGACATCCCTATATATATTAGCGCTGAATTCAGTTATCATTTATATTTTTCATTTTTCATTTTCTTTAATGTAGGATTAATATTTCATATTTAAGTGTTTTATATTTTATACTTTCTATATAATAAAGTGTTTATGTTTGGCTGTTATTATTTCTTTTTCTATTCATTAATTTTCCTGAGGAGGAGCCAACCTTGGTAATACTGTCTGAAGTTATTACAGGGCTGAGTAAGCCTTCACAATCTGAAATTAGACTAAAAGCTCATCCTAGCCTCTACCAGTCAATCACTTTATGTAATTCTAAAGTAAAAGTGGAACTGCGGGGGCGTTTACCCCTGGAACACCCTCCAGGTATCTACAAATACGGATACAAATGTGGTGACAATTAACCCAGTTCTGGAGAACCAACTTTAAATTAAGTCTTGCTGTATATTGCTATAATCTGTGGTGGTTACTAACATAACCCATGATTTGCGTACGTAAAAAGGCAAATAGATTACTGGGATTTATATCATGAAGTGTAAGCAACAGAAGTCCAGAGGTCATACTGCAGCTTTATACATCATTAGTAAGGCCTCACCTAGATTATGCAGCTCAATTCTGTTCTCCATGTTACAGAATGGACATAAATTCGTTAGAAAACATTCAGCGTAGGATGACTAAATTAATACATAGCATTAGAAATCTTCCTTATGAAGAAAGATTGAAGACTCTTAAGTTACATTCACTTGTTAGACGAAGAATGAGGGGAGACTTGATCGAAGTGTATAAGTGGAAGATAGGTATTAATAAAGGGGATATTAACAAGGTCTTGAGGATATCTCTCCAAGAGAGAACCCGCAGAAATGGATTTAAATTAGATAAGCTAAGATTTAAGAACATAAGAACAGTGGTGGCCTGTACTTAACTCAGTGGTGACCTGTACTTAACTCAGTGGTGACCTGTACTTAACTCAGTGGTGACCTGTACTTAACTCTGTGAAGAAGTGTCTTGTTTGCGCCCGTGGACTGAACCAAGATGCCCTCCATCGAGCAGCTTTACCAGCAACTTAAGGAAGAATTGAGGGCAGCGAAGATGGAGATACGGCGATTGACCGAGGAAAACAAGAGGATTCGTAGTAGTCCTCCTGTTTCGAGTCCTCAGGTCAAGAAGGGATCGTGGTCAGTGGCTGGACAGCAGGGGACGACGAAGTTGACGATCAAGAAGACGAATGGAAAGCCAGAAACGATGAAGAAGAAAGAGACTGCTGTGGAAACTCCTGTGGAAACCTCCAACGCATTCTCGGTGCTACCTGACGAATGTGAGTCGACTACTGGGATCGTCACGACGAACGACAACAAGGAAGGTAAGAATGTTGTTGTTGGGGATAGCCAGGTTAGATACATGGATAGGGCATTCTGCTTGAAGGACAGGGGAAGGAGACAAAGGGTATGCTTTCCTGGGGCTGGGATGGAGGACATTGTTAGCTGGCTTGACAACATCATGAACGGTAATGGGATCAATCCTATTATTTGCCTCAGTGCTGGAGGCAATGATGTAGGCAAGCGTAGAAGTGAGGATTTAGTTAGAAAGTTCAGGACAGCTATAGACATAATTAGGAAGAAGGGGGGGCACCCTGTTATATGTGGCATCTTGCCAAGAAGAGGTGTTGGTAATGAATGGTTGTCCAGAGCAATTGGTATTAATTGTTGGCTGGATAAACACTGTAAGGATAAAGCAGTACCATTCATTGACAACTGGGACAACTTCTATGGCCGAAATGACATGTATGCCAGGGATGGGGTTCACTTATCCAGGGCAGGTGTGGGTTTTCTTGCTAACTCAGTTGACGGGGTTGTTAGGACTTTAAACTAGGATTAGTTAGAGGTATGGGTTTAGAAATGATTAATAATGAGTATGGATATATTGACTTATGTTCTGATGTTAAGAATCTTAATAGTAACTGTCATGGAGTAACTCTGGGTAATGATAATTTCAGAAATTGTGTAAAAACAAAGATGAATAGCAAAAATGTGCAGAAGAAAAAACATATGATGGTATTTTATACTAACAGTCGAAGTGCAAGAAATAAAATTAATGAACTACGTTTGGTAGCATGTGCTGGGAACTTTGATATCATTGCATTAACTGAAACGTGGTATGATTTAAAGAGTCGGGATATGACTGCTGAGTGTAATATTCAGGGATTTAAGTTGTTCAATGTGGATAGATCTAATGGGAAGGGGGGAGGAGTTGCATTGTATGTTCGAGAAAATATTAATTGTTGCATAAAAACAGGTATAAAAATAGATGGAGCAGTAACAGAGTCTGTTTGGGTAGAGTTCGTGGAGGGTTAAGAAAAACTAATTCTAGGTGTAATATACCGACCTCCAGGCTTGGATCACGATAGAGGTAAACTTCTTTGGGACGAAATTGTTAGGGTTTCTGGACACAGTAACATAGTCATAGTAGGGGACTTTAACTTTAGTCAAATTGACTGGAATTCTTTGACAGGTAATCGAGAGTCCAGTGACTTTATGGA